ACTGATTCTACGATAAATGAGAGATCACTCTTTCAAAATCATGCATGCTTTGTACGAAAAAACATCTTCATACGATTTCGATCATGATGACATTTTTCTATTATCATGGTTTCAAAAAATTTTATTATAAAGCCATTAGGTGTAGGAAACAACAAGCTACATATTCGCACAATTTTTCTTTTGTTAATACAATTCTATTGAATAAGCAGAGTTAGTTATTCAAAAAACAACTGAGTCTTGTTTGAAGACACCTTTATTCGGCAATCACAAACTGGAATTTCTTTCCAAAATACAATTTCAAATGTATTTGCTAGTGACAATAGCAGATATTTCTGTTTTTTTTTGTTTGGAATTTATAGTGAAGATGTTTGGCAGACAAATTCAATGACAAGACTATATTTTTAGGTAGCAAACAAAAAGGTTATATTGTTCAAAAAAATCAAATACTATTTTGACATAGAAAACGATATCAATATTGTGTTGATCATCCTCTCTGTTGGATATATTCTTATAACTGATCTTCGACGAATGATGGAACGTCTTTGACTGTTCTCTTCCAATTTCAAGAATTTTGGTTCTTCTTGATATTTGACTAAGCTCTGAGACTTGTATAATGTATATTTTCTAGAGGCCTTGTTAGGACCTCAAGTTTTCGCGAAACTTGTTTTTTTTCGAATTTTAATATGAAACTGTGCACATATAAAGAACTTAACCAGATTAGGTTCCATAAAAAAATACACAAATTTTGAACAAAGTCGCTTCGAGATATGAGACTTTCAATATATAGATCCTTTTCCATTGATAGTGTATTCAATATGCATTTTTTGAAAACTTCATATCTCGAAGAGACTTTATTCAAAGTTTGTGAATGTTTTATGGAACTTATTTTAGTTGAACTCTTTATGTACAATGTTTTACATAGAAATTCAAAAAAAACGGTTTTCCGAAAACCTGGGATCCTACAAGGATTTCTAGAAAATAGATATTTTCATAGTACGTTAGCTTGGTCAAATATCAATAGGAACTCAAAACCGTTCAGAATATTTATTATAACATTATGCAGTATCTATAGACAAAAAAAACGTTGAAATCGGAAGATAGCAGTTGAATAAGTTCTCTCGTCAATAAGAAGCCGAGTCTGTTGTATAGTATTGAAATCCATATTAGAAGAATTGAAACTTCGAGTTTCAAAGCATCAGTAAGCAAGATATTTGAACTCATACTAATTATATATATATAGAAAATAATCATCTATGTATTCATGTACTTATTATCAAATTGAGGTAGTAATATAGATTGACTGGACAGTTATGTTGAGTGTTATCCTAAGATAGAGTTCGGCAAGTCTGATTAATAAAAATGAGAAAAAACGATTTTGATTCGATTCTCAAAGTATTATATGAAACCGAAATTATTAAATTATCCGATAAATACGAATATCTTGGAATTTCTTGTGACAAATGTGTACGATTGATTTGATATCATTAAAAACTTCACATACTTCAGTACCTAAAACCAATTTTACACACATATACTAAAATCTTTAATCTCAAGGATGAAACAATGAAGATATTTTGGCGTAGCTTTAAGACTCTTTACAGCAATCTGATGATGGAACGGTTCCAGTTTTTTGAAACTATTCAATTCTATGATAAAAGCGTCAACTAACTGAAAGGACCAAATACACAAAGACTACAAACATACTGACAACTTGTCTTTTTTACTCATGATTGATTAGTTGACTTTGTTTCATTGTTTTGTGTTCTACAAATCAATACAAAATATCTATCAACGTTACATCGAAGAGTCGAGTTTGAGCTAGTGCAAACTTGAATTGAACAAAAAGTTAAGATCAAAACTTTTTTTTTGATCCTGTAATCGTTGTTCAATTCAGAACTTTTTATTCATAAGCTACAATAAACTGATGATATTTACTTTTATAATAATCTTTCCAAAAGTTAGAGTGAGATTAAATGAGTTTTAAGTAGTTTTATGTGTAAATGGGAACTTAAAGAAAAGTGGTTTTTTTATAACTATTTAAAATCCGACTTTCATGGTCAATCATCTATGTACACGAGAAGTATCGTCTCTGTGTCGTGGTTCATCAAAAAAAAATCAGCAATTTAACATCAATTTCAGATTTTTGCTCGATCCAAGTTTGGATTAGTTCAAACTCAAATCTTAGATAAAATTTATGTAGAAACGGCAATGCCAGTCTGTTTCAAAAAAACTTTCACCATCAAAGTTTTGATATTGCATGAACAAAAATCCTTCCAATCTTGGCCAATAATGACCAACTTTATGTTCAAATTTCAGTATAAAAATCTTGATTAAGATACAAAATGAAAAGTGTAACTATGTTTTACAAAAAGGATGTATTCCATAAAATATATAATAGAACGCGGTAAATTAAATAGATTAGTATGCAAAATTAATAAATAATCGATGAGTTGAAACATTTTTTCAGCGTTTTTATTCAAACATAACAGTATCATTTTAATTTGCTTCTTGATACGATGACGATAGCTCATCAGAAGACCTTTATGGGTTTACTTGTGGTTGTTGTTGATCCGATAATACTTGACTTTGTAACGTCCGACTTCGTTGAAATCGACATAGTAATCTATTTCGAACACATCCTTTACATTGTAACATACATATAATTATAATGAGCGATATAACAAAAATTAGAAATGCTATAGAACCAAGTACCAGATCGACAACAGTGTTACTACTGTTCTTTGTATTGGATGAGAATCTCTTACAATTCGTACCATTTTTATCACAGGATAGTGACATATCTAGTTTGAAAATGTCAAATAACAGAAACAAGAAACAGTGCATACATTTTTAAAAATGTTTCTTTTTTTTTTATGATGAAATAATTATAATTCGACTAAATAAATTTACTTTATTGTATCATATATGCTTAAGCGTGTGTTAAAACTAAATGAAGAATAAAGAAGAAATGTAAAAAGAAGAAAAGAAAGCACTTTCAAATAAATTTTAAAAAGACAACAAAAATGTGACACTGATATAGTCAGTGACATCTAATGTAGGAGTTTCAAACAAAAAAGTTAAATTCAATAATTAAATGTCTAAAACTCAAATATTCAGACATTCAATGAAGCATAGATGCATAGCAAGTTTCGCGTTGATTGTACAAGAAAAATACACATAAGAAGAAATATCTGAAAAGATCCTCAATAATTGAATGAAACTGTCAAGTCTAAATCTAATGAGAAAATCAAAAACCATTAAGAGAGAAAGATTTTATTTCTAAATGGTACTAAAGAAATTTATTTTCTAGAAGAGGCAATATTTTATACAGCATGAAGGCTGAGAAAGCGACGTCCTTCTCAAAATTGGACTAATCTTTTTAATGGTTCAAATCGCTTCGTCGAAAGAGAAAATCTGGATAAAACATTGAAACCAGATAGTCTAGATCTTTTTATAATAAACTTCAAAGAGCTTTATTGTCAAAGTAATGATACTGAAACTTACTTGTATCTACTTTCAAAATCAAATGAATTACTGCTTTACATGATTAAAAAAGTGTCTGATGTATTACATCAAAGATCATTGTCACATAAATCAATTTTATTATTCGTACTAGTGTAAGTTAACTTAGATACAGTTTGGTTTAGTTTTGTTAAGTAAGGTCATAATTGATTGACTAATTGGTAGTTATTAGTAAATCAGTTCCTATTAGTTATTGTAGAATATTTTTTTTATTGTTAGTGATGTTTCGGGAGTCGAAGTTTCCTTCTTGTAATTTTATTTAATAAAAAATGAAAACCGCTAGAACACAAACTTTATTTTTCTTTTTTCTTTTCTGTTGTGAGTGTAATTTTAATAGTGTGTCAGAAGAAGATGTCAAAAGAAAGTCACTTCTGCCAACTATCACTGTCTTGCCCATTCACTATTCAAATTATAATAACAAAAAAAAAGAATAAAGAAAAACGAAAAACGAAAAAGAATATTCTACGGTAACAAGAAAGAGATTCACTAATAACTAACAATTAATCAATTGATTTAGATACAGCATCAATTAATCGAAATTAGACTTTTATTCACCATTATATTTTTGCGACATATGAAACATCGTTTGTATGTTTTGCCTAAAAAAACTTTTGTGTGCATTTGTAATTACTAATCATGTTTTCTTCCTTACATCGACAAATGGAATCGTCAAATACAATTATTTAGCAATGTTCAATATTATATTAGAGAATAATTTGCATTTAATTGCGTTAGCAGCATCTAGCAGTAATTTTTTACGCTAAGCCCAAGATTTGCTAATTCTTTTCATGTAGACTAAAACAAATTCATTTACTAAAGAAAAATTAGAATGTCTCTAAAAGCTTGATTTTATCAGTCTTAATTTAATACATTGAAGAATTAAAAATATTTTTCTCTTCCACAAAAAAAATTGATTATTTCAATGATACCTACTACAACTAAGAATTGTGTAATCAAAAAGAATTCTAATGAATTTCATTCTTATATTGCAAAAAGTGTCCAGATTTGTTTATTTGAAACCTCGGCTATATTTTCGTATTAATTTGAAAGAATGGAAATCATATCCAAGTAGTAGATAATAATTCATATTTATTGAATTATCTAAACATATCTATTGCTTCGAAGAATTCAAGATATAAACTACAAAATAACTTATGTTTATATATCTCTAACAAATAATCTTGAAAATGTTGCAGAAAAACTAAACGTAAAATATTTTTATCAAAGTTATTATTAGTCATTAAAAAAAATTAAATACTTTTTCTTTGAATTCATTTTATATTGTGTTTAAATAAATAAAAATTATATTTGTTACGTTAGTAACCTTTTAGTCTATGTAAATAAACAAGAAACAAAAAACAAATTGAATCAAGATGCCTATCACAAGCTTGGATCACAACACAAAAAACACAACTACTTAATACTTTGGGTATCGTTTGTTAAATAAAAAGTTTAATTTCAAATTATTCTATACGTTGTCAATTTGATTTCAACATATCACTATCAATATTAATAGATCTCATTGTTGTACCATAGGCGTTTGTTGTTGAACATTCATATTTTCCTAAATCAACTTCAAGATCAAAATCGGGTATGATCATAATTGATGTATGATCATTCATTGATAAGTCATAATGAATTTTTGATCGTGGTATTTGATCATCAAATGTCCATTGATGATATTGATTTAAATTATCTAGAAAACAATTCATTAGAAAATAATTTTTTAATTTTGCATTGAGATGAAGTTTACCTGTACTACAAATTAGTCTTAATTCACCAGTATCCAATAAGTATGATGTATCGACTGTTAAATTTATGCTTGGTTTTCTATCTGTTTGTTCGTAAATATTTGTATGTGTATTAAATGTTAAGGTACGTAAAACTTCATTTGATTGTTTCGATTTAATAAGACATTTGTATTGATTATGATGTTCTAATTTAAATGGACGAAATTCTAAACGAGGTCCACGAATATAAAAATGATTTTTAGGTGTTGGAACATTTGTCCAAACTACTTTTCCTTGTGATACATCTTAATATAGAAAAAACATAATCTTTGAAAAATTAATTTACAAAAAAAAATAAAATAAAATCACTATTACCTCGTCCTATTCGACATATTAAAGTAATATTATCTCCAATATATTTTCCTTCAATAATTTCAATAAAAGATTTATCGTACTTAATTGGATTTATTTTTTTTAAATTTAAATTTGTCATAAATTCAAATAAACTTGGAGATAAGACTAAATCTTTTCGGTCGTTTTCATTTATACAATGATAATAATCAAAATGATTATTTGAAAATTTTGGAATATGAAGATATGAATTATTTATTATTATTTCATCTATTTGTTTATTTAATAACCATTGTACTGGTCTCTTATCAGATGATGAACAATTAATAAGAATATTTCCACCAAGTTTTATTTGATTAAGTGATGAAAGAAATTCAATATGAAGATTTGATGTCTTTTGTAATGGAAATATCTGAGAACGAAGATTCGAATGTGTAATGTTAAAATCGATTGATGATTGTTGGTTTTCATTTGATGATAAACATTTATAGTGACCAATATTCTTTTGACTTAGTCTATCGATAAAAAGATAAGTTTCCGATATATTTTTATTTACTTTGCCTTGTTTTTTTATCCATATCTTTGATAGATTAGGATCTAAAATGGTATTAGAAAAGAAAAAATATGCTGTTATAAATTATTAAAAACCATTCTACCGGAAACAAAGCATTCAATAAGAAGACGACCACCAACACGATAATCCGAACGAGATGAATAGACTTGATATGAAAGAGATGGTCCTATATTATTATTAGATATATCATTTGGTTGAAATTCAATTGATTTTGAAAGATGTTTAATAGGAGTTTCGGCTGAACAAATATATGTCCCAAGATTGTCTGTATCGAAATTGAAAATTAATAAATGACCATCATTTGTTACATGTGTATTGCTTGGCAATAAACCTGATTGAAATGACCAAGACAAATTATTAGGTAAAATACCTAAAATTAGATTTATTAGATAGATAAGTGATTATTCTATTCAAGTTTTTTACCTTCAACATAACAATGTAATTCAACTACTCCACCTACTTTAATATCCGTTCGAGCAGTAATTAATTTAATATGAATTTTAGGTGTTTTGGCTAAAGAAAAGAAAACAAAATTTTAATGCTTTCGATCATATCTATGTACTTTTTCGTTGATTAGCTGGTAAACTTCTTGCAACTTCATCGTTAATAATAACTGCCATTAATTGTTCTGCTGAATAACGTTGAATACGAATTATTTTGCTATGTAATTTTCCATTAATATCTTTTGCATGACATGTAAATTTTCTATTAATATGATCTGATCCTACATGAATTGTAAGTGGATTATTTTCTCGTTGATGCTGATTTATAGATGACCACCAAATATCATTTGATTGTGGTAATTTACAATTAAAACGTATTTCACTATTAATCAAAAATATATTTGTAGGTTCAATATCAATTGAAATTTCATGCGATATTTGTTGAACTATATCAATAAACATATTAAGAAATAAAATCATAATTTTAACAAATATTACCATCAAGAGTAATAGTTTCTGAAGTAGTACCATATTTATTTGTAGCAATACATATATATGTACCACTATGTTCGAATTGTAAAGGCATATTAGATGGAAAAAGTGTTGCTGTTTTTGATATGTCCCAATCATTCTTAAATATTCTAGTTTGATGATTCTTTTTAATAGAATTGATTTACATACATTATCTGCACGACGCCAAGTGATATCAACTGTTGTGCTACTATCTTCGTTTAGACATTCGATAGTTTGAGTTGAATAGTATGGCACTTGAAGGTACCGATTAGTTACCTTTGGTAAGATGATAATAGAAGGGGCAGATCCTATGATTTTTCAAATGGAAAAAAAATAAATTTTTCTTTTATTTTTCTGCAAGGACTATTTTTGTCTACCAGTTAGCTCAAGTGTAACTATTTCTTCAGCAAAACCAACTTGATTTTCACCGCGACAGATGTATTGGCCAATATCTGAATCTAATACGGCGTCGAAATCAAGAATACCATTTGAATGTTGATTTGGCAATATTATCAATGTAGAGTCTTTACTAAATCTTTATTCGAAAGATAACACAAAAGTTTATTGATGAGAAGAAAAAAGAAACAATAAAATCTGTTTCAATGAATCATTTATAAAGGCTAAGTAAACATGATATATATTGATATCAAATTATTTAGTAATAAAATGCTAATGTATGAAGCAGATCTCATCAATTTTCATATAGTCAAATGTAAATCGACACCAACACATATGTATATTTCATGGATTATATGAAAAAACCTCATGGATTAGGCATGCACTGAATTTCGAAAGTTTCGAGTGGGGTTTAGTCCTGAATGCAGTCACTGTCAAGTAGTTAATAAAAGGAAACAAAGGTAAGCTAACAAAAAAAGGTTTCAGGGTTGTAAATAGTAATTTTACAGACAGTGGAATAAATGATTCAATAATTGATTGACTACAGACATTCAAAAATAGAATCAACGATGTTCAGAAAGAACTGACTGAATAGTTCTCGAACTCGAACCACTCCTTTCAAACACTGAACCATAGTTCAGATTGACTACATTTCTATTCTGCAAAGTGAGCAATTCTTCTATGACAATAAAAGTAAATCGAAACAGTTCTAAACATTTAGCTATTGTGAACAGCGAGATGATTTCAATCGAAAACGTATAAGAGGATTGTTTTCATTTTGAAAATATCATCAATTATTTCAAAACATTTAGAATTAATAATAATCTCTCTGATTAAACTTTTCTCTAACCAACAGATAGATTTTAGAATTTTAAATAAATAAATATATGCGATGCTATGATTTGAGCTTCAATTGGATTCACAAGAATCATGGCTCAAATTTTGTTGTTATAGATTTGCTACTTCTTTCACTACATAGATATAGCCTATTGATTAACAATTGAAATTGAATAAGACTTTCAAAAACAATGTTAGAACTATTTGTCAATCTTATCATTTTGCGAACGTTGAACAAATAGAATTAAATAATTTTTTTCTAGAATTAAGAATTAAAATTACACACCTAAACCAACTAATTGTCGTTGAGTAAGTTTCATATGGATCAAAACATTTTATACGCAATTTGTCTCCTTTTGATATGCGAATATGTGTTGATGGTTCAATTAATAATTTCGGCTTAAGACGAATAGCTAAATCAATCCATACATCAGTTCAATATTAATTAAAATATATACATCAATTAATTAAGACTACTTTCAAATACTTCTATATCTATATATAAATATATATGTATATGCGTATGGATGCAGTGAACTACATTTACAGTGTTTTGTTTAAAAGATCTTGTTTATGAAGTTAGTCGAAAAAAAAATACAAACAACAACATTAGTATTAGTAGTAATATTAGTAGCTTTAGCAAATAAACGACAGAGAAAGAGTGAGTGAGAGATAGAAAGAAAAGAACACCATTGGGCAATTAGCAAAAAAAAAGCTGTGAAATAGGAGAAAAAAAAATAGACACTGTGTTACAGTTACAAACATAAATAATCATAAACGACGAATACATAGGAGCTAACTGAACATGCACACAATTAAAAAAGAAAGAAAGATCAGCGTAGCAAGTCTAAAACATGTGGTCATATAGAAAGAACTACAAAGCGAAAAAAAAAGAAAATTTAATTAATTTTAGCTTGAAATGATAAAAACCTAGTTTTTACGAAAATAGATACCAAATAAAACCAAAAGAAAAAAGACATAATTGTTGTTCTACTGATATTGACTAGTGTGCATAATTAATTCACACAAGTTTATATCTATTTACGAGCGTCGTTTCTTTTTCTTCTTACTCGACTCATCTTCGCCGCGGACATTGACTCGTACAAAAGCCGGATGTGGTTGATCATGACCTGGAACATTAGCTTGACATTGCAAGTATATTTGTTCAGCAGGTGAATCCTGTGTTGGTGCTACTATAACATTATTTCCTTCTTGCTATTTTTAATAAAAAAAAAGAAAATTCTATAAAAAAAAAAAAAAAAAAGTAAATTTTAACAATTAATACATACATGGGCATAGTTTGGAAGACTTGTATCATGTGCATATTGGCCCCATGTTACTTTATATTGGTCAGCACCATTAACTCGACATGTGATTGTTGCTTCTTCACCACGTCCAAGATTTACTTCGGATGGTTCAGCAATCACTTCAATATGATCAGATGCTTGAGCATGTTCATGTCCATGTTGATGACTTTGTTCATAACCTCCTGCTGAACCACCTGCAATAGAAATTTGCATTTGAATAATTCTAAAGAAATGACTTTTTTTTACCTGAAAGTTGAAGATCATAAGTACTTTGTTGTGTTCGGACTCCAGGGGCACGTGGGAAAGCAACTTCACATCTAAATTTTTCCAAAATATATTTTATTAAAAATAGGTTGTTTTCAAATAATGCTTTACCGATAATGTCCAGCATCACTTGCTTGAGCATTACGAATAATTAATTCACCGTTTGGATGTACTTCAACATCTAATACACAATAACAAAAAATAACAAAATAAATATTTCAATAACATATAAATCAATCGAATTTTACTATGTTCTAATGGTTGACCATCTTTTGTAAATGTATATTCATATGGACGTTCAACACTACCATGAACAGCACAGTGTAAATGAATATCACGTCCGACTTGAAGATTTTCTATATCATCACGTGATAAAAGACGAACATCAATATAACTACGCGAACCATCATTATCATCAACTACAAAAGAATTATAAAATATACTTGAAATTTATTTTTTGATTATAGAAATGAAAATGTAATAAATAAATGCATGGCAAGCAGATGCATAAGCAGAAAACAAAAATGGTTAATCCATAAGCGAATGTTAAGCATGAAAACATCATAAGTATATCCATATGAACCAATATAAATTCAAGTCTATCATCTTGTTTTATTACAACGCTTAATGATAAATAACCATTTGACAATGGGGGGCCAAATGATATTTGTTGAACTTGATGTCAATTATAATGTATTACGTTCAAACGAAGTTTTGATGGATCAATATCTGTTCGACAAACAGCTTCAAGGCAAGGCCCTTGATGTAATCTTCATTGACGAATATTCAATTGAACTCTTCAATATTGATTAGCTATTAGTTGATTAATTAATGAGCAAAAAAGCAAAGGAGGTATTTTACGTAAAAAAAAGCAAAAGCAATATAAAAAGGAAACCAAGCAATAAAATTGTCACTTACCAGAATTGTCTTGTTGATCATCTAAACGACCAGAAAATAAAATAAAATAAAAATATGATTAAATTTATTTCAAAAAGGGAATAGGGGGTTCTTTTTTTTAATAGATAAAGCACGGATATACAGAAAGGGGGCTCTACTAAAGGAGTTATCTACGAAAATTCAAAATATTGTTTATTTATTTATTTTTAAATATTTTTGCTCTTTGTAATCGATTAAAATGTTTAACTGCAAATAAATAGTTGATTTTATTTTTTGGTCTATTTTCTTAGTAAACTTTATACTCACCTGTTTCTTTCCACGAAACATTAAGAGATTTTGATGCTCGACCATGAGCATTAGCTGCATCAAGAGTATATTTTCCTGCAACATCATTTGATCGACCTTCAATATGTAACGCACCATCATTACGTGCAGTTACACCATCAGGTAAATCTGTTGAACCATCTTTTGACCATGTTAAGGTTCCTCCATGAACATTCTAGATTTAATTAAATAAAGTTCGATTTTTTTAATAAAAAAACTTTTTTTTTTGTTCTTTACATAAAGATTTGGTACTATATCAAGTTTTTCACCATTACCAATTTCATATCGTGCTTCTGGAAAATCAATTTGTGGTGCAGCTCCTTGCTGACCACGATTACGACCACCACGTCTTGGTTCGACATTAATGTGTAATTCTTGTCGATCTTCGCCATGTGGATTGCTTACAGTAACTTGATAAGTACCAGCTGCGTCAGGTGTGGCACGATTAAGAACAAGACGATTTGGTTCAACAGTAAATAATGATGGAATTGGTTGATAACCTTGATCAGTTAATTTATGCCAAACGACTTGAATTGGATCATGTGACTAAATAAAACAACAAGAATCATATAATGAATTAAAAGATAAATTTTCTTATTTTATGTTACATACAGCAACTGTATATTGAACAATCATACGTTGACCTTCTTTTAAGTTAATTGTTCGTGGATGAATAGTCACTCTTGGTGGAGTACCTGAAGACATAACAAAAAAGAGATATTAACAAAGTTTTCTATTATCTTTTTTTTAGACAAAAAGACAACAACAAGACAACATTAATTAAGATAACCTTTCCGTTTAAGAAATTTTGTTATCATAATTTGTTGTGAGTCTGTTTGATTTTTTAATTTGTCTTCTATGGTATAATAAATATACAAGAACAAAAGAAAAAAGAAAACAAGCATCTAATTCTTCGAAACTTACCACCAGTTGATGGATGTCGTTCACTGGGTCGTACATGAATGTCATATGGAGCCCGAGCTGATCTACCGTCAGCAGTATATAATTCGCAATTGTAATTACCCGAATGATCAGGATGTGCACGAGTGATTTCTAAAGCATTACCATTTTGTTGAATACCTGATGGAAGTGGTCGACCATCAGCACGTGTACATTGAACTCTATAAAAGTCACTTGGAGCTTGAATTAGTTGACTTGCACCTTCATTAATTGATAATGGACTTGCTGGACTAAATACTGGTGGATGACGATCATAGATCCATTCACCTTAAAAATTATGATTTAAAGAAAATTTATTTTTTAAAAGAACGAGAAAAAACAATGTATATATTACCTGGACGATAATTTACATAAATAGGAATACGTTGAATAAAGCCATTAGGATGTGTTATTGTGCAAATATAATTTCCAGCTTGGTCAGATGTTGGATGTCGAAAGATAAGATCATTACCTTCTTGAAAAACATTTGCTGGTAATGGACTACCATCAGTACGACCCCAGACAACCGAGTGTGGTTCAACATGCTGCAGAAAACAAAACCATAGTTATTACATACATATATAATCAATTGACAACATACATGAATTTGAAGTGGAAGGCGTTGTTCTGGTAGATTACCATCCAGAACAATACTCAATGGTGTTGGATTACGTGGGTCATATGGTCTTTGATCGAAGTAAAATGTGCCTTGAACATCAGTATCATCTGATGGTTGTGGTTGTGGCTCTGGTTGTGGCTCTGGTTGTGGTTCTGGTTGTGGCTCTGGTTGTGGCTCTGGTTGTGGCTCTGGTTGTGGATCTAAATAAATTTAATTTTTAAAAAAAAATTTAATTTTCATGTATTTTTTTACATGGTTGATAGTAGTCATCTCGTACACATTGATGACTTCGTCCGTCAAGTACATAGCCGGGACGACATCGTTCACATCGATCACCGTCACTATTACCTTGACAATTCTATTCAAAGAAAAAAGCAAGAGAAAAATAGATAGGTATAATTATAAAAAAATTTGAAAATATACTATTATATATGATACATACCAAACATCTGCCAGTTTCTCGATCACATTGATCTGATCGTTCATGACACAATGATCGACAAGACCAACATTGACCCAAATAAATGCCAACTAATGGATGTGGACGACCATAACCTTCGGCACATTTTTCACATGATGTACCAGTATAATTAGCTGGACAACGACATGATTCAACTGTTGGTGCTGCGTCAGCATAACCATCAGGTTTAGCAGCATGTAAAGTAACACCACGGAGACTACAATTAAATAATTGAATGAAAATTTTAAAAAAGTTATTTTCTTATCTTACACAGCGTTACGTCGACCACCAATTGGATTTACTTTAACAAGCAAAGTATCCAAGTCTGATAAAGCCATAAGAATATTTTCTCGATCAATATGTGTACCATCTTTACGTGTAAACGTTCTCTAGAAAACAATATATACAATAAAATTTAAAAAAAAAAAGATCTCCATTTTTTTATTGCTTCTAATATGCATACTTCGTTACATGGTACTGAATAAGTTGCATTACGATTTGCTTGAAATCGTTGTGTTGAAGGAAGTTTATGAACGAGATCAATATTATTACCACGTAACCAAATCAATTCATCATTACTTGGTGCTTCATGTTCATTACCATCATTAGTAAAGTGTATATCAATATTACCATCATATAATGTAACAAAATCACCAAGAACTTCTTTCGGTGCTTTCCAATAAAGAACTTCATTATTTGATCGACCTAATGAACTTTGATCAAGAGATATTTCATGTCCACCATGACGTTGTTGAATATGATCACGTGCTTCATATGGATCAATAGCAAAGTTCTTTGGTACAGCACTCCAATTATTTAATGGAAGTGAAGTCTAGAAGAAGAAAAAAAACATGGTTTCGTGTTAGTTTAACTAATCAAGAAAAAAATGTTTTACAGGTTGTCGTCGCCATTCCGTAGATCTACAGTCACTTGATACACCCGAGCAAAAACATGGTAAACAGCCATTTGGTGTTGTTGGATTTAAATAGAAATGACTACGTTTACATTGATTACATCGTTCACCTTGAACATTGTACTTGCAAACACAACGACCATTACGTTCCGTATGTGTACCATATGCATCACAATCTATTTGACATATAGAAATCAAATCATTTTTTTTTATTGTTTTTAAATAATAATCAAAATACGAACGTGTTGAAGGAGCGGGGGGTATTGGTTGACAATCGTAAGGTGTTCCACCACGAGCATCTCCTTGATAACCTGCAGCACAATGCTCACAATAATGACCAGCTGTATTATGTTGACAATTCTAAAAATAAAACGATAAATATTCGTTTTGTTTCTTTATACATATTATAATTAGAGATCTGCAACTCAGTTACGATTAATGTACAGCATTTATCTCTACCGAAAATTATTGAATCTTTAAGTTTGAAAGGGTCCTTTTGACAACAAGACAATTTTGAACCAAAGTTTCAACTCGAATTATTCTTCTAGTCTCATTAGGGGAGACTGTTATATAAAAAAAACACTTTTCTTTTTTTTTCTGTTGTTGGTCACGACCATGACCTTCGATGCAAATGGCTAATCACTGTACATACTTGACATATTCCATCTGGTGTACAATATACTGAATGACCATGACAATTACATGCTGGTGGTCTAGGAACATCTATTAATAGAGAAAAAAAATTGTTTGTATAAATTTTCTTTTTGTCGTTTGACTACAAAAAAATACAAACCAATAATAACATGAACAATGGCATCAGGAATAGCAAAAGTAAAACCTTGATTATTAAGAGCTTCACATGAATAAGCACCAGCATCATTTCGATTGATGTTACGAATTGTAAGTGTACCAATAACAACTGTTGGATCATTTGCATCTAAAGCTTGCGCCATTGTACAACGTCCATTATCAGAACCATCACCACATATATGTCCCCAATTGAGACGCCAATTAATATATGGTGCTGGAGAACCACGAGCAGTACATCGAATAGTTAATGTTTCACCAGGATGGATTTGAATTTGACGTTCTGGTGGCGAAATAATTGTTGGCTTAACTTAAAAACAAAAAAAAAGATAAAACAACAATGAGATACATAAAAGAATCATTCAATTTTTATTTTAAATATACCACAACCGACTTCATCCGAACGATCAGGACAATCACTATAACCATCGCATTGAAATGATCGTGGAATACATACTGGATTTCCATATGAATCATTAACACCATGGCATTGAAATTCACTTGGTTTACAATAACGTTGTCGTGGAAGTAATTCTATAGAACCAATATGAATACGAACATTTCGAAAATTTTCAAATTTTTTTACATACCGCAATAATGTTGTTGTTCATCACTTCCATCATCACAATCACTAAAATGAACCAATTTAGATTTGTGCATTTTTTTTCTTAATCCATATCTTACCGATCACCATCACACATCCAAAACTTCTGAACACATTTTCTTCCACGGTTAGGATTTGAGCAGTGAATTTCATTTGGTTGACATACATCAGAACCTAAAAATTTGCAAAAGAAATGTATCGTCTATTAATTTAGTTGTCCGTTGTGGCTTTTTTTTTTATTGCAAACAAGCAACGCAGCATGCAGCTGCTTCGAGATAAATATAGTTTTTTTTTGTGCATTTAGCAAGAATAATTTGCCTTATAAATAGAGCGTAAAGCTTATTTTCTTACCACTGCCATCAGCTGCTAGAGTGTTCACGCAAGAAGATCAGTCACAAAAAAACAAAACTCTGCATGAACAATCAAACTTACGTCCGCATGTTTCGTCACTGTTGTCACCACAATCATTTTTACCATCGCAAATATATGAACGAGGAATACATCGACCATTACGACAGTGTGCCTCATCATCACGACATTGACCGGCTGGTGGTACTGGTCCAACAGGGTCAACTAAATTTAAAAAACACTAGATTCAAATTTCGTACTATATATATTAGTGTACCTGGCGCTGGTGCCAGTCCTTAACAAATGTAAAAGAAAAAGAAAAGATTACTTAAAAAATTACTTTTTGTTGACTTTTATATTACCCGCAAATGTCAAAACACTATTAGCATCTATATAATTACTCTCCGGAATAGAACAACGATAATTGCCCAAATATGATCTCGAAATTGGACGAATATGAAGAGTTTTGCCACGTGGATAAAGTGGTTGTTCATCAGTAATAAGCTAAAAATATTTTAAAATTTATTTTTCTTTATTTTATTATGACAATCACTTATTAGCGTGTAAAATATATATATAAATATATGAGCCTAATTGTGAATCTTGATATACTCACGTCTGACAATTCTGGCTACTCTCATTGAAACGAACAATCAGAGTAAAAATCAAGATTTTTTATACAAGAGCATAATTTCCCTGTTAGAAACAAAGCTCGTTTTAAACTTACCGAACTATCAATTAACTATAAAAATAAATAAAAACAAAATAAATTTCAATTAACTGAAACGAACTGTTCTTTGTTTTTTCTTTTCGTTTTTAAAAATGTAATATGTACATCTGAAACCAAATAAAAAATCAATACATACTCGATTATTGAAGTACCATTGAATACGTGATTCATCTTCTGGCTCTGCGCCTTCACATTTAATTTCAACATAATCACCTTCACTCATATCTGGTGCAATAATATGTAAAGCTCTTCTACCACCCGCTATAAAATAAATAAAAATTTAAAAGAAAATTTCCTTATTTAGCTGTACGTGAGGGTTGAACATCTGGGTATTCTGGTTGCGGATGATACCCACCATCAACTTCTTGCATAGTAACAATAGCTGCACCACTGTTTCCAGCATTATCTTGTGCCATACATGTATATTTACCAATTTTACTTGGATCATCAAGTGTAATACGCGCTTTTGATATAACTTGTGATCCTTTTACTTGTTTATCATTTGGTTGAGCTGGATCTAGTGAAGCGTAACGCTACAAACAATTTTAAAAATAATTTATTTTAGAGAAAAAGAAAAACAACCGAATTCGATTTATTTTACTCGTTGAGGCTCTTCTTGAATCCAGTAAATATTTATATTTGGATCACCAGTATGAACAGTACAAGTTAATTCAACTGTTTGACCGCGTTGAACTTTTACATCTGTTGGGCTTACGATCACACGAATTTCAACGTGTGATGGCTGAGTAGAGTCTAAAGAACAAAATCAAACAAAAAACATATTTTATTGTCAATCTATACACCAGTCTATTTAACAGTAGAAGAAATAATCTTCATCTACAAATGACTTCTTAAGATGAACTTATTCGCTCTATATCAGATTAATTGACTGGTAAACATTACATATTCTAATAGACACATTATTGCTTTCTTTTAGAATTCTATAAACGTCCATGATATTATATATGTTTTTCGGAAAGATACAAAACGAATATAATTAATATGTAAACTTGCCTTCATCACCATCCGTTGATATTGTATCTAAAAAAGAAGATACATTATTTTATCATTTCATCATTCAAATGAATAAAAGAAATGAATAAACAATTAGCAAACATAAATAATAAATATTGTCATGCAATGTAGCAATATAGCCTAATATGATGATTATTAGAAACCAATAGTATTACACGATTACTGATATATGTACCGATTGAAAAGAAGCTAATTGATCAGTAAGCAATGAGCACCGTTACGAAATTATAAACGATATGTATTTATTTTTATCAATCTCACTTGTCGGAGTTGGAACGGGTGATACTTCAGGAGTTGAATGTCCTTCTTCCTCTTTATTCTCATCATAATATTCAACATCATCTGATGTGTCGTCTATATCACTCGCTGCTTTTGGAGTTGTTTTTACTGTTGTTGTTGTTATTTTAACATCCCCATCTTCAATAGCTTCATCTTCTTCATTGTCATTAACATTTTGAGGAACTGTAGTTGTCTCTGGTGTTTGTTTATTTTCTTCGTTTTCATCATCATATGCTATTCATGCCCAAACACACACGTTTATAAAATTCATGCAAAATACAAATCACTCCAAAGCACACTATCAGAAAAAAGCTTACCTTCCGTATCTTCTGTACCTGAAATATAAAGAAGAATACCGATTAACTATTGCATTATTGCCTGTAGGAAAACACAAAAGCCAACACATGCAATAAAGACAAATAGGAAAGCGAAAAAAAAGGAATATTATTCTCTTGGTATCGTCGTGCACACACCATTCCATTCCAAATCAGGACAATATAATCGGTACCTGTCACTGTTGTCAATGATGTATCAGTACTTGTTACACTGTGATCTTCTGTTGATCCTTCAGTACTAGTGCCATCGGTAGAAGATCCATCAGTGGAAGAACCATCAGTAGAAGAACTGTCTGTACTAGCGCCATCGGTAGAAGAACCATCAGTCGAAGAGCCATCGGTAGAAGAACCATCAGTCGAAGAGCCATCGGTAGAAGAACCATCAGTCGAAGAGTCATCGGTAGAAGAACCATCAGTCGAAGAGCCATCAGTAGAAGAACCATCGGTTGTAGCACCATCAGTTGTGGCACCGTCAGTGGTAGCACCATCGGTCGTAGCACCATCAGTTGTATCTCCATCGGATGTGGCACCGTCAGTAGTAGCACTATCTGTCGTAGCGTCATCGGTAGTAACAGCTTCAGTTGTAGCACTATCGGTCGTAGCATCGTCAGCAGTTGTTGATTCATCTTCAGTTGTAGTTATATCAGTAGTATCGGCAGCAGTAGTCGACGCTTCAAGAGTGATATCTGCAGTTGTTGTTGCTGCTTCTAACGTAGTAGCGCCGATAGTAGTATCGTCTGCGGTTGACCCAACTGTAGTTGTGTCAACTGTTTCGGTGCTACCACCAGCAGTCGTTGTAACATCATCAGCAAGAATCGTAGCTGTTGTTCCAGGTGGTAAGACAATTGTAGTACCATCATTAAGTATAACTGTTGCCCTTGCTACTGCACCGGTAGTTGATTCTTCAGTACTAACTGTATTTGTGACTTCTATATAGCGTATGCGTGTGTGTGTGAGTATGTATGTTAGTAAATAAGAAGAAGAAAGAAAATTTTAGCAGTACAAAAAAGCCAGCTTAATTTACAATATTAGAAGAAAAAAAAAGAAAATTAAAAATATATTTTACACGGCTTACCATTATCATTTGCACCTTGATCAGCTACAAGACAAAGAAGAAAAAAGAAATAATTAATTCATTATACCAAAAATAGATGTAAAAAAAAACCAAAAGTTTTTATCAAACAAAACAAACAAGAATAAAAAGATTAAAATAAACAAAGAAAGCCATGAAATTTGATATATTCTTTTGTACATCATTATCACAGCTAGTAGTCAAGTTTTTTAATCAAGTATTGATACGTGTGAAAGAGAAAGTTACAGTTATATCTGTTGTTATTTGTCAAATAATGATACATTTGCTCTCATTATAGCAATCGGTTTCGTATTTTGACGAATACCAATTGTGGTAATGGCTGCGCAGTACATATTCTAACTACAGAGGAATGGTTTGATGGACATTAATAAGTGCTTTTTTTGATAATGATAATTGATTATTATACTTACCATCGTTAAACTCATCAGAAGAACTATCATCATCTATAAGATTTTCATCACATTAGGTAGTGTATTTGTTTAATCATTTTTGCAAAATTAATTTCCTTCCTGATAATACTGGCTTTGGAGTGGGAGAAAGCAGATAGCAAAAAGATATCTTGAAGAAATTGATCATTAAAATAAATCATAGGAAAAGAATAGCAATAGATATTCATATGTATGATTTATAGGAAGAGTTAAGATAGTTATTTGTTTTTATTGACATGCACTTACTTTCATCGTCTTGCCGTCTATACCTTAACCTTGTATCGATTTTGGCAGAGGCGCTCTGATGTATAAAATTTGTAATTTAACTGATTTGTAGAATATGAAAAAAAGATATTCTTACTTGTGAGATTGATATACTTGCCATAAAACAAAAAAACAGCAATAAACCTGTGATAATTCTTACGTCCATCCCGGAAAAGCTAGGATCTTCAAGTTTAAATAAATATTAAGAGAATGATATCTGAAAAATTGAACAAAGAAATATATAAAAACCAAGCTTCTGTTCACAGATACAATGTTTAGTATACTTTATTTGATATACTAGAAAGGGAACCTCTTTGATTTTCATAACCTGTTATGATACAATTATCTTAACTGTCGAAGTTATTCTTTTGAGACAGAAATACTATTAGACTTCATCATATATGCATATCAAATATAAACAAATTCTCTGAGAAAACGTATCTTTTTTCCATAGATCATAGTACGGTCCTCACGCATATATCATATATATATAATCTATTAACGATTTTGAGATAGAATAAGAAAGAAAGGACAAGCTCCAAAATAATAATTTGCAAAATATTTATGTGTAAGAAACAATGCAAGATTTTGAAATTTGTCCCCTGCATCATTGTTATCTATCAATTATTACTTACTTTAGCTTTTCTCCTGAGGAAAAAAAAATGAGAAATGGATGTGTAAGTTATATACTAATACGAGAAAAACGACTGGTTTTCTATACCATATACACAAACAAGTAGTCAATACTATGCAAGCCGTGTCTATCTTTTGTCTAGTAAAGAGAAATAATTTTTTTCTTGCCTGTTAACACTAGCAGCAAATCTGACGGCCAAACAAATAAACAGCTAGTGCTAGAAGCCAAAAAAAAACGAGCTAACCCTCCGACTGTGTTAGTATTTTTTCTCTCTGCGGTAGTTGTTGTAATGAGTAATAAATAGTAGTGAAAATCCCAATACTGTAGACCGCAACAGTAATATCTTTTCTTTTATTATCTTTTGTCCTTTTCTTTCTTTTCTTCACCGATAATAAATTATCCAAAATATTATGTCTTTCACAGCAGCTACATCAATTACTAGAAAATGACAAACAATACCATCAGAAGGATGTATTACTTATACGATCATCAATACGAAAATATTTATATAGGCATGCATGCATATATCGTTCTTACTAGAAAAAAAATCGGAGTAAGATTTAGGTCATTTAGATATACAAATGAGACTTGATTGTTTTTTTTTTCTGAAAACATAATTCGTTCAGTATCTTTGTCTATCATCATTATACCAGTAGAAAAAAAGATAAGGAAAGACTTTTGGTCCAATTAACTCTTAAGAAAAACTTATTACATTACTGTAAGTTAAGGTACACAATATCAACACTTACATCTGTCTTCTTTATTCTTTTTGTCTTTTTTGTGCTTCTCTCTCTTTAAGGTGATACAAAGTATATATATATATATATATATATATAATAATAACAATAATAATAAAAACAACACTTAATGAATCGCGGGACAACGGGCACGACAAGTAAAGAAGAAAAAAAAGACTATACAGCCATATATACAGAAACTTTTAAATAAGTGTAAAAACAGACGACACTATTCCATTATTTATCAATCCATGGTAATTGTTACTCAGTGGGTGTTACTAAATAACGAAAACTGTACTCACTTCAATACTAAATTCTTCTTTTCTTTGTTCAGTTATGTTTTATAATGTATGATACATAGTTTGTATATGCTTATCGATCATCATCATCATTATCAACTTAATAAGATGCATGATTTAGTAGTCTTCTTATGATGGAATTTACCAATCCATTACGATCGACAAGGACATGACGATTGTTCAAAATATCTGCTTCTTTATATGTTACAACAGACACGCGTCACTCTTCTTTTTTTTCTCTCAATACTCATTTTTTCTTGACATACAGCCGCAAACCACAGGGACTGCATTAATACAGAAACGAGAGCGTCAACAGCAAATGTTTACTGCATAAAAAAAAAAGAAAAAGAGAAGGTCGATTTTGCGTTTTTTTCATCATAACCATCATATTCTTTTATTCAAAAGATTGATTCTTATTGACGATCGAGGGATGCCTATCAACCGAGAAAACAAATTTCTCGATGGGATGCCTATTTTTTCTTTTTTTTTTCGTTTCTCTATCTTCTCTCGTTATGCTTGCTTATATTACGAAAATATCGAGCGATAGTAATTGAATGTCTCAACAAGTATTTCTAGCATGCCTATGCATAGTCTATCAAAACATTCTAATTGAGTAAAAAAAAAGAAGAACAGTGCGCAAATAGTTTTTATCCGCTTATGGCATTGATCATCTCATGTTTATCATTTTTCTATAGATTTCTATCAAAAAGCAAACACTCACATATATGAGACATTTAAAAAAAAAATTTGATCCGCGCAAAAAAAAACCTCGATGCTCACTATTGAAAAGTAAAACCATTTTCTTTCGAATTTATACGATATTAATGACCTTGATTCTACATATTTCGTCGAAAAAATATCTCAACATATACATTACAAAATTATCTTTGCTCTTATATAAAATATTTCAATTCATCTACTTCGGCTCATGATTAGTCATTTATCTTATTAATTTTTCTTTTCTTTGTGTGTGCGGCACGAAGAAAAAAATCATATTTTTAAATTGGTTAAACTAATAATTGTTATCATTTGTTCTTGACCTTCATTAGAAAGATAAAAAGAAAAAAAAGGTACCCTATGATCTATACATAAACATATAAAACCTTAATGCTACAAAGATAATGTTAAGTTTTTTTATTTTAAATATATGATCAATATTCGAATCGTACATGTCGAATTTATGGATATATATTTATGGATGTATACGAAGCTTTTCATCGCAAGATTATAACTGTCTCATAATATCCCATTAATCAGTGTCACAGAGACAAAACCCAGTAGGCGATAGATAAGACAAGAGCATGTTGATGCTGCCCATCATCAAACTGTTTTTTTTGTCATAATTGCGAATATCACTCACATTTGCATATAGAGAAACCTATTGTCTCATATTACTTAGCATACATACTCGTTTACAACAATCAACAATATAGCCTTGAAACTGTATAAATGAACAAATGCAAGCGTATTGTATGTGTATAATCTTTGCAATCCTTTCAATATCTCGAAACAAATCAGCTTACCTTCGATATATTTAACTAAAATAAACGAAAAGAACAACATACGTCAGCAACTGTGACCAAAAAAAAAAAGGAGATACCGCAAACGCACATACTAACATGCACACATACACATACACACACGTTTTATTATGTTTATATCAGCATCATTATCGTTGCTGTGTCGTCAGCTCTCTTCGTTTCTTTTTTTTTGTGGTTGTCTATCTATGTGTATATGATGTGTATATAAAGGCTGTTTTTTTCTTTCTTGCTTATATTAGTCTGATAGGTTTTTTCGGGCACACGTAAAATGCGAGCGATGAAAATCTAGTTAATGTATGGGTCCCTTTTTTTTCAAGCTCCATCTTTTTCCTCATTGGTGATTGCGTTTATTATCATTGTATTTTAAGGTGACTATTAAAAAAGCCTACAATACTGATTTTATTGTATTGAGAAAAAGGAGAAAGAAATTGATATGACTTGCTACTAATTATAAATATTTTCAATGAATAAGATATTTATAATAACGAATATGTTTTATAGTGATGAGTACTTGTAGAAAATGGGTATATATAATATGTGCATTGAAAATGTATATGACAAAACAATCATTTCTATAGTAGTCTATAGAAGGATTCGAAATAAATGACAATATATTTATTTTTAAATGACAACTATAATCAATAAAATAGCATAATTTTATCATTTAAAATGAATAGAGATTCTTATATTGCGTCTGAAAAAAATTGTTTATTATTGATGAATATATTCTTCAATGAAAGATTTTCCTTTTTGTTTTTCAATTTGGTCATCATCTTTGGGCCATCTATTAATGGCTAATGGTTTTCGACGCAGATGTTCTTGATGGTGCTGATGATGCTGCTGCTGCTGCTGCTGTTGATGATGATGATGATGATGATGATGATGCTGGGAACTATGTTGATGACGATGATTCATTCGACTAAAAAAAATATTATAATCGAATAAGAACAACCTTAAGACTTCTGATTAGATACCATACTTATAATTATCATGACTATGGTTCTGTTGTAACCATGACAATTCAAGAGGTCGTTCATTATATGGATTCTTCAGTTTGTCATGTCGTTTCTTTGGTGGTGAAGGCTTTTTTGGTAATTCAGATTCTGATTCATATTGAGAATCTGAATCATGAATTGTATTAGATACAAATGATTTAGGCTGGTGATCATTCACGTATGTTCTAATATGTTGAAATTTTAAATTCTATTAATACTGATTTGAGCATCTTACTTGTCTTCTTTCGTTTCTTTGTTACCATTATTACCCATCGTTTTTTTTAGTCTCAAGTGGTTGATGTATCTTTTTAAATTTACTTTTTCTTTCTTCTTTTTTCTTTTTTTTAAATTTACGACTTACATAAGAGAAAATATGAGTTATTTACTAGAAAAAAAAAGGATCGACACATATGCTGATTCTATTAGTTTGAAGTACTTCACTTGAAAATATGAAGCCGATCAACGAACGTGCGCATCAAACTTTTTCGATTTGAAGGTCAGAAAAAAAATACATTATGTACACATAAAATATTTTTTGAGTAATGGGTTAAGTTAACAGAAGAAGTGCTCTGCATTATTCATTGAAACCATTCGTCCGCACATTGAAGGTCCATAAAACTAAATATTTTTATTCATCTAGTATAGTTGAACAATGAAAAGCCGATATGATTATCAGATAAAATAATAATTTAGTTTCATGATTCACTGGATTGAATAAATATGAATAGTATATGGTTCAACATAATGTGATTGTATACAATAGATAATTAATCTTCTATCGTATCAAAGCAATGTTGACTAAAAAATTCTTCGTCACTTTGATGTGAATAAAAATTCAAGATTTGCCGTCGGTCATATACTTATATCAAGGAAGAATCTTTGAGCTTCGAATAGTTTCAACATATAATATATCAAAAAAAAAAGCAAACACTTGTTTTTATATGTAAGAAGTAGGCTTATCTAGGTTATATTAACGGAACTTGAAGAAATCTTCAATTTCGTCTAAATAGCCTTGATAGAAGATTTACTAACAATGCAGTCAATTGAAAGTCTGAGATCAATAAACTTTTTTTAAAGCCATTAATCAACATTGTGGGGATCCTATCAAATCTACAAGCATTAACACATTTTTTTTATATATTAATAAAGAATGCCGATGGTCTCCTACAGTTAATGAGCAAAAAAAAGCAGCGTTTGTCAAACTTCAGAAGGTCGTCCTACTTATAATAAGTCTGCTATAGGGAATTTTCTTTAGCCAACGGATATAAATCTTTAACTTTCTATGCTTCAAGTTTACATTTACTCTATAAATTGCTTTAAAACAAAATTTGTTTTACTTCACTTAATGACTCAAGAACACATTTGAGAAATTTTCTCTTTTATACAATCAAATATCCTTTGTGCTGTTCCTGATGATTCACTCGTGATTAAACAACGACGATAAATAACATTATTGATTGATGCCATAAAATCAAAATGTGTTCCTGCCGATCCCGGTGGTGGGACTAATTCAATAAGAACGCGTTTTGGTTTCATGAATAGAACATGAGTTAAACCAGCACCATGCATACCAATAAATACATCTGTTTGAATAATAGTATTCAGCTGTTCTTCAATAGTTAACTGTTCAAAATGATTAGAAGTAAAATGAATATTTGAATAATTTGAAAATTTAGTTTTCAAATCATCA